TCGAGCTGCTGAAGGCATGACCCTGCACCGAGTCTGGGTGTGGGACTGGCTCTGGAGGGGTCCAGCTTACCTAAATCCTCCATCCTGCCTCAGCATAGGGTCCTGGTGGCCAGGGGGCTGGGGCAGCGCCCGCAGGGCAGCTAGCTGGCAGGCCAGGCTGTGCAGGCTCTCAGTTCCGCTCCAGCCTCGCCTCCGCCCCCACCTCAGGGCTGGGGTTTGTCACTCGGGGGTTTTTCCCTTGTGGGTTGTGCACTATGAACCACGTGTGAACAGGCAGAAAGCAGAGGCTGTGGCAAGGGGAGCTGAGAGCAGCCCTGGGTTGGGGCTGGAGAGGGAAGAAACTGATCCCAACTGTTCAGGGAGCTCCTGGATCATAAAAACATCCAAGCTCCTTGGGCTTCTTGGCTGGCAGCCAGGGCACATACATCCTGCAGACCCAGGCCTTTTCCAGAAGCCACTGGCTGCACGTGACGAGGGATAGCATCCCTGCGCAGACTGGAAGTGCATTTGTGAGGGTGTGATTGAGGCAGGCACAGGACCTGCCACAGGGCCAGCATGCTTCAACACAGCCTCACCTTCTGCAGGGGATGCTTTTGGAGCCTCATCTTGTATTTCCAGGTAAGGGCATAATCCATTTGTGTTACTTGGAGCCTGTGTGAGCACAAGGACTTCACTCGCTGCCGCAGTGCAGGTGGCAGTGGCACTGCCAAAGCTGGTGGCTGTGCTACACTCTCCCTGTGCTGATGCTTTGGGCCACTTAAAAGTTTCCCATCCTCTCCATGGGTCCAGTAAAATCCCACGCAGTGGGAGCTGCAGCTTTCTGTACAGCTGAGGAATTAATGTTTGTTGCACAGGTCAAGCTGATGCAGTCTTGGCCACCCATTCCCACACAATGCTGAGCCCATCTTCACCATCAGGGTGGAACAGGGTTGATTTAAGCCCTTCTGTACGCACCAAGGTTTACTTAATCACTGATGCTCCATGTTGGTGACAGCTCTTTTTGTTATCTGCTCACAGTAGGGACATCTAGCAGGGCAAGTCTCAGGAAAAGCCGGGTGGGATGCTATGCATCCCATGATACATTTTGGGACAAGCAATACTGAGCTAACCAAAAGACAAGAGGAGGCACTGCTTGTATCGCTCCCTCTTGGCTACTTTGAGACAGGATCATTGCGTCAGACACTTCCCTTTCTGCAAGTAACAGAACCTTCCTGTCTGCGGAAGGTTTCAGGTTATTTTTAGACTTCTCAGTGATTTACTCTCCCTCTCCAGTGATAATGTCAGTCCTGGTGTAAACAAGTATCTGGAGCTGTAACTTTGTATTATAAAAATTCCCATTATAAAACACAAGCCCAACAGATGCAAATGCTGAGCTGTGTCCTGATCGGAGCTGTATTTCCATGCAGTGGTTTAGCCAACCTATTTTAAGTACAACCAAGAGACACCAGGCCTTGCCTACAAGGGAGAAATATATCACAACAGCAATTTGAGAATGACTTCCCACATCAAGACTTTCTAGTTTGAAATAAAATTGATTTAAGAATAAATGCAGAATATGGGTTAGCTGCAGCAGAACACTTGGTTTGGAAATTGATGTCAATCAGTTTTCCAACTAGACAAGTCCTTGGGGAGAGAAAGAATATTTTCAGGCACTTACAATACAAACAGCAGCAGGAGATGTTACTTAAATTCTTGCTCTTCTTTCTTTGAGAAGAGAGAGGAAGATTTCAATTGTTGAGAGACATAACCAACTGTATTCTCAGGGAGGAGGCATTTTCTCTCAGTTTCCTTTGACACAGGAGGAATGGTGTGGGGTGTGTGCCATACTTTCTTTACCAGCTTGTCCAAGATAGGATGCAAGGGCATGGCAACTCTATTGTGAGAGGGCTTTCTACCCAGATACTGATCAATGACACTCCCTGTTGAGTCCTGGAATGGGATTAAATGAAATCCAACCAGTTTAGCCATCTTTTCAAGAACTGAAGGAAAGATGGATTTGCTAATGTGGAATTATTACCCTCTTGTTCTTCTGTTCTAAAATGGTAGGTAAGATCGGCTAAATCATGCTTTCCAGAATCATAGCAACAACCCTCATCCCCAAAAGCAACTCCTGGCTTCCAGTTGGAGGAGTCACCACCCACTGTTGGTGAGGGGGGTGAGGGGACACTGTCATGGGGGGGAGGATAGCAGCTGTTCTGAGACCACTGGCAGAGAGAATGTTTGACTTGAGGTAACTGCTTCACCCAGTGACAGAGACTGCTCTTGATACCTGTAGGACACCCTTGGTTCCAAAAGCATCTCGGCTGCACTGGAGGTCACCAAGGGATCTGTGGCAGGTTCTGGAGGCGGCTCTCTGGGTCTTGAGGCAGCCTCAGCAATTAGGAGGATAGATCTGGCCAGGTCTGAGCGCGGACC